AATTACAGGTATTTACTTTTTAATAGATATCTTATTGTGATTCAGTTACAATATTTTAAACATTTTAAACTTTTATCAATGCACGTTAATTTACATAACCTGTCATTACATGTATTGCACTCATAAATCAATAAAAATGCAGAAACAGATGTTACTAGAATTTTGTGAAACAAGTTCTGTCCAATAAAGCATGACAGGCTACAGTAATTGTATTATGCTGATCACTAACTTATAAAGTCAATGTTCTTTTGTTTAAAAAATATAAAAGACCAAGGATCACAAAATTGTTAATCTGACAGTCAGAACAACCAAAATGTCTGTTGGATGACTTTTTTTTGGCTGCTAGTCTGAGAGAGAAAATGTTTTAATGTAACAATTACCGCTCTCAAATAAAATAAGGTTCTGTACTGTAAACAAACTGCTGTTTCTCAACCTAGATTCCACTCACAGATCATTTCAGTAGAACACAATATGTCACAATGTTTAGAGGGATCACTGATTTTCAATTGTATTGTTTGAATAATTTCCAGGTAATGTAGACAAGCATCGCAGATTCACCTTTCAACATATGCTGACATGCTATTTTGCTGTTTCTTCCAACAATATTTCATCATCAATCTGTTTTAGCCAATCAGCAGTAAGAAGCCTCTGTTTGGCTGATCTGCAAAAGTATTTTACTAGTAGCAATGGAGTTAGAAATAAGACACCTCTCCACAGCACTAGGAGTCAGACAGTAGAAAAAAATGAATGTAAAAAAAAGTATGTGCTCTTTCATGCCATCATGGATGAAAGAATATTTTTGGTTCATGTATGAAAGTAACAAGAACGAACTGTTGAAAATTCAATCAGATCAAAGACATTGGAAATCCTTTCATCGGGAGTACAATCTGTAAAGATCCCATAAAAACTCATGACAGTTCTGCACATCACAAGAAATGTGTAAATGCCCAAGTAGCCACACAAAATCCAAAACAGCTGCCAATGGAAAAAATAATCACTAAGATGAGCATGTCACATTTTGGCATAATGATGTGGCTTTTTTGCACTGTATCTTTTATAGCCAAAGAAAACAGCCTTTGGATAAATTTGCCAGTTTGTGTAAATTACAGGTATCAAATGGAGTTCAACTTAAGGACAAGTACATCTATGCTTCATTAGGGAAAATGCATACACCTAGAGAAATCAGACAGAAGATTTAATTAAAAAGAGCAATTTTATGTCAATTTAAGCCAATGGGATCACTGACTTTGCTATTACTGAGAAGGAAATAGGATTGTACAGGATAACGGAGCAGTCACAACAAAATCGTTAAATGTAACATTGTTCAATATACAGATACATCTGGTGTTTTAAGAGCAACAGATGGAGCACTTAACCCTTTTGATGAAAGACCATATAATTTCAAGAGTTTATGTCAATAAGTTTGGTACCAAACTGTAGATTATAATTCAGATTTTAGAACTATACATTACTCAATTTGTTAATTTAAAAGTAAATATTAAAAAAAAACACAGATAAATATCGATTTTGTGTCACATGATATGTTGAATGCAGCACTTGTTCAAATTAGATGTTTGTGAAGTCAAAATACTAAGTCCATAATTTCATACGAATTATAAACTCAAATTACAGATATTGACAAGCTACAATATAAAATAAGAAGGTCTTATCTTTTCTATTTGCTAAGATATTGCTCACATAATAAATCAAACACAGCAGCACCCCACTCACCTATTTCCATTTTTGGAAATGCTCCCTTATATACACTTACTTCTATGTATGACATGAATAAACAATCGGGAGCTCAGAATATCCCCCTAGTGGTTTTCTCAGCCTTTCTAAAATACCTAGCACCATTTCTTTCTTTTGAATCAAGATTTCAAAGAGGTAGGGTGTGTCTTCAGTCTACTCGAAATTTCATATTTTTTTAAACTAAAATACATCTTAGTTATTAAGCTTTATAAGTTATAGTGGAATTCTATGGTATTGATGTAGTAATTTATGAATTTTTAGTTATTTAAATGTAATATATACATAAAACCTAAAAAAAAA